TGTATCTTTCTACACACCCACACGTACCTGTTACACGGCCATTGATTGAGACTGACATTGAGTGGTGCGCACACTGTCACACACAAACAGTCAAACACACATACACAGTTACACACATACACACACACAGTCACGCACACAAAGAGTCTCTCTCACACACACACACAAACAGACACACAGACACACACACACGCACACACAAACACACACACACACACACACACACACATACACACACACACACACACAGAGACACCACCCTATCTCACACAGACACACACTAACTGACACTGACTCTAACCATTAACTCACACACACTTACTCACACTGACACACACTAACTCACAGAGACACACCGCGCTAACTCACACAGACACCCATTAACTCACACAGACACACAGTAAATCACACAGACACACACTAACTCACACTGACATACACTACCTCACACTGAAACACACTAACTCACACAGACACACGCTAACTCACACAGACACACACTAAATCACACAGACACACCGCGCTAACTCACACTGATACACACTAACTCACACAGACACACACTAACTCACAGTGTCACACACTAACTCACAGAGACACACACTAACTCACACAGACACACACTAACTCACATTGACACACACTAACTCACACTGACACACATTAACCCACACTGAAACACACTAACTCACACAGACACACACTAACTCACACAGACACACCGCGCTAACTCACACAGACACACGTTACCTCACACAGACACACACTAAATCACACAGACACACACAAACTCACGCTGATACACACTAACTCACACCGACACACTCTAACCCGCACAGACACAACGTGCTAACTCACACAGACACACACTAATTCACACAGACACACGCTGACTCACACAGACACACCGCACTAACTCAAACAGACATCCGTTAACTCACACACACACACGCTAACTCACACAGACACACGTTACCTCACACAGACACACACTAAATCACACAGACACATACTAACTCATGGTGATACACCATAACTCACACAGACACACACTAACTCACACAGACACACACTAACTCACACAGACACACACTAACTCACACAGACACACACTAACTCACACAGTCACACACTAACTCATACAGACACACGCTGACTCACACAGACACACACTAACTCACACAG